AACCTGGCTTAACTTCTGTCCTGCTCTGGCAGGGCCCTACCCTTTTCAGTGGGTGATGGCCTGCTTACCACTCCATTCAGGTCACTGCTCTTGAGATCGATGTGACAGGGAGATGTCAAAAGGAAAAATTGCCACCAATTGAGATTGTGGATGTAGCACATGAAGTTTGTAAGCCTCTCGCTATGTTTTGCAAGAACTGGGTCATGGTCTGGATTTTCAGGGGTCCCCGCTGAGGAGGAACACATTATTTGTTTCATGGTATGGGAAATATTTCCTTGAAAGGGAAGAATCACGGACTGTTGAGGCTTGCTGTGGGCTGATGTTCTGTCCTTGGCTGTAATATTTTGGGCATGCTGACTTCTCTGCTCTCTCTTGGTGCTACTGTCAGTAGTGTTCATCAACAGTCTGAGGACTGTTTGCTACTTCTATGGTTTAAATATTCTTTATTTTCCATGGAATGCTAACGCAATATATTGTAATGCTCGTACACATAAATACAGCTGTTAGACATTTAGCTACCTACTAGAACATACCAAAGCATATCACACATATTATTAACTATGCTAATAAATGTTTCCCATCCTCAAGTATACTTTGAATGGCTGCTATCCCCCCTTCAAATAAAGATAAAAAAATAAAAATCAGAGAATTAAGAGAAGTTATAATTAAAATGCAACTCCAAACCAATAATTCTACTTGTCCCTATTTCTGTTTTCTTACCTTACAGAACGAGACTTTTCCTTACTGAATTTTCTTCTTAGCAGGAAGAGTGCATTTTGAAATATTTTTTCAATGGAAAATAAGTAGAAACAAAAAACCTGCAAGTCCTAGACATTACAACAAAGAAAGAAAAGCTACACATGGTGTAATATCAGGTATTCTGAATGCATTTTATATATCCCTTCCAGAGTACAGAATTGTATATTCTTTTATATTTGTGCTCCATTAAAAATATAATGAAATAGTTGTAGGAATACACTACAATTCCATTAGCAGTTTTTCCTGTCTTAGACATTAACATGACTAAGCAGCATCAAGGATCAGCAGTATCCGTTAATAACCTTCCATACTGTCTCCTATAATACTTTTAGCACTTTACATACTCTGTCAGTCCCAAACAAGGCAATTAGGGCATTTAGAAAATCCATTACAACCACAGAAGACAACCAGTCAGCTGCAAGTAACCTGGACTTTGCTGAAAGAAATGCGTTTTTTTAAACAACGTTTCAAACAATGTTTAAAAAAAGTATCAATGTATATAGGAAAAAAGGTTCTATTTTAGTTTTTGTCTGGGGCTTCCACTGATACCAGAAGGAATACTGAGCGGAGAAGCAGGATGGAACATGGCCTTACACTCAGAGGAGCTGTTAAAATGCCCAGTCTCGGGAATTAGGAACAAACAGCACAGGGAGCCACCTAATGAGCCTTTACGCTCCTCCACGTTAAGGATTATGAGTTCTGTTCTAAAAATAGCCCGATTCCTTATGTGGTGCAATGAAATGCTATAGTTGCACAGTAAGAAACCAGCTGTAGCCCCTGTGATTCTCCATCTGACATAAATTGGCTAGAGAAAGGGATTTTCAAAAGGGAACAGATTTAGATTCCATGTTTTATAGTGACCTTCCAAAAATGACATAGGCATCAAGAACTTCCCAAGTCATCAGCACTTGACTAAAGGTAAAATTTCCTGAAGGCACAACCAAACTGGTAACACAGTTATGTACTTCAGCAGATTAACCCAGCAGATGAATCCCTTACCACCCTCCACCATACTGTGTCTAGTTTTAGAGGAATTGTGAATGTAAACTTCTACTGACTCACACCCCTGCAGGCTTTTAAACTCCTCCTTTAAACCCAGGAGTAACAATGAATTCCCATAAATCCATCATATTATTTCAGAATAAATTAACTCGGGGAAACAATCATAGCGCAGCTATCGCGTACGGCACGCAGCTGGCTGCCTCTGAGATACAACTCCATGAAACATAACCTGCCCAAGGTACAACGGTGAGGCGATACATTGGGGTATAGTGTTTGTAAATAAATGTTGGTAGCAGATTAGCAAGGTTATCCAACTCCACTTAAACTCAGCCAGATGTCCATAATACATCCATAATGAGAAGAATACGTAGCCATTATCTATATAATTTGATAGAGAGTGCATGTAGGCAAGTATAATAGAAGAAATCAGATCAAAATCAGTGCACATAATTCAATAGGACCCTAAGTAAAAGACCGGAACAAAAGACAAGATGAAGTAGAAAACACTTCATGATTTGCTGGTAGATTGGAAATTGGTTCAGGACTTTCCGTTTCATTCCTTTGCCATGCAAGGTGGTTTGAAGAAGAGATGGACAAACTGAGTTGGCAATCACAGATGTGCAGCCAACATTGAGAAATAATAAAAGAGATTACTTGGGTTCATCTCGGGTTTGAAATCATGCTCATATAAAAGCTAAACATTTACAAAGGAAACCTGCCAAGCAGGTGATGGTTTATCAAGATGATTTTTGGAAATGTATTTATTAAGAAAAAATTCAGAGGTTTCAACTCTGAAACATAGTTTAAAATCTTTCTAGCCACACTGTAAATACTTACGGAGTAGGTAGTTATTAAACCAAATACTGACCAGATCATAGGCAGCTATGGATACAAAGGCATCAGAAAAATGAACTTATTAGGGTAGTATTGTTCACATGGGATTTTTTTCTTTTCAACCAACACAATATAAAAAAACTTTATTACAGAAGCATACTGTTTAGGACTGGCTTCTTAAAGTATACATTATATTTCTTTTTTCTTAATGATTATTTTTCTGCTGCAGGCGCTCTTGGCAGCACTGCGATGCTCTGCCATTTTGGGGGTCTCTGTGAGTACAGGGAGCAGCCAGCTTGCAGCATCAGCTCCTGCAATTAGCTGGCACGCACAGCATGGTTAAGTCTGATTTGCCAATTAACGCCTGTGAACGTTAGAAATGTTAGAAACGTGTATAAACATACAGAGTATTGATGTGTATATTTTAAAGATAGCACTGGAGCACAAGGCTTGGTAACGTCAAGTGAAGTGCAGAGGTGTCTAAAGTCAACTTGAGCTCTCTTCCTGAGCTGCGCCAGGTGAGCGTCAGCAGCAGTACAGGTTTCTCACAAGCGATGCACTAGGTGTATGTAAACAAAAGACTATTTTAAATTTGAGTTTGTGAGAGGTTTTCATGCCAAAGCCAGACTTGGTGTAATTCAGCAGATATAGGTAGCTTCCCTGGAATTGCATATGCTACGCCAACTGGATTTGTCCTGCCATACTCAAAGTTCCATGAATTTTGAAGTATCTGTTACTAAATTTCATTGCAGGATAGTGGAAAAAAATGACTTCACATTCAGTAGCTTCATTCAGAATAAGGAATAAATTCACTGAAGATTAAATAATTGCAGTCACATTGGAAGGACTTGACAGGGACACACAGAATTCATGCAAGTGACGTGTGACAGTTCAGATATAGAAATGATGCTAGCTGAAAAATAAGCTGCACTGCTAGCTTTCAGCACAGTAACTGCCCCAGTGTCATATCAAAGATTTCTTTTGTGCTGCTTCAGTATGAGGTGGAGAAAGACAGACTTCTACATCGTCTTTTGTTCTGTAGATTTCTTTGTAGATTTTTAGAAAATCAGGTACTTCCAGCTATACACAGTACAAAGCCCCATCCTACAACCAGATCTATATAACTGAACACTGTTTTCTGGGTGGAGTCCTGTTTAAATCAGCAAAGCTTCGCATGCATGCAAGGATATGTCCAGGTGATAATTTATAGGATTGGGGTTCAATGCTGTATTTTTATCAAGAACTTCTTGTTACATGCAAAACCCACCTGATCTTTGATATTGTGCATCTTCCATGTGGTACAGCACTGCACTGGGCAATATGCCTGCTTGGGTTTATTTTATATGTGTATAATATATACACAAATAAAAAATATCACCTTCAAATAATATTTGGAATGTGAAAGACACAAAATGTAAACATTTTATTTGGCAGTTGTTTCAAACAGGTGAATAAATAAATGGAAAAGTACATCTTAATATTCTTTATAGCAACAGATGCAGTTGCACACATATTTACATATTGTGGATGCAAAGAACAGTTAATTTAATTTCTTTTTGTTAAAAAATGCAACTTCCAACACCACTAGACTTGACAATTAAAGATGAAGATACTAGTAATACTTTGTTCTAGCAATCTCAACTTTTAAAGGCATTCATTTGGAAGTAAGATAAGAGAGTCATCATGCATTTAGTTCATTTTGTCCACTTACGGTAGAAAGTCTGATGTAATCTCAGAATTATGAGTGTCATGCGCTTAAGTCAACTATGACATGTTTATAAATCAATGTAGTTCCCTTAAAACTTGAAGCAAAGAGAAAATCTCGTTTATCGATGGAGACATGTATGAAAGATCTTGGTGCCTGTACGTTTAATTCTTGAAACTTCACAAATTTTGCCTTTTCAGCATCCCAATAATAGACTTGAGTGAAAGAATAATCACTTCCAAGAATGGCATATTGATAATTACTTATCTGAAGCGGTTGGAATACCATTGACCCTCGGGATGGCATCCTTTGTAAATCCAGAAATGCTGAACCACCCCATTTCATTACTTTAGAGTCCCCAATAAATCTTGTTAAGCAAATGTATACATCCTCTTTCACTTTGAAATGTTTCACTGCATATGCATCTTCCATATCTTGGATATCAAAACGCTTAACAAATTCATTTGTTCCTTTGTTCCATTGATATATTACAGGTCTTTGGGAACTACTTGACAGAATTAAATGTGGTTTGCCGGATATTTCAAGATACTCGACATCAGTATCTCTGTACCAGGCGTGCAGAGACTGATGGGAATAAAATCCATTCCCATTCCATTTGTAAACTGTGGTGAAACCAGCTTTTGAACTGTCCGCAACAACAAAATACCAGTCTTCAGCAATCCTGAAAGTTTCGATGTCATTGGGTTTTCGGATTTTAAGGATCTCAATATCTTGAATTTTTATAAACTTATTAGCAAAAATATCTCTTTTATATATGTGGGAGCCTCCAAACAGCTGCGCAACAATGACGTACAGCTGACTCTCAATAACTATAGGTTTACACACAACAGTTGAAGTACCTATAAAAACAAAAGGAAAAGACAGGGTTAGCACCACTTTTTGGATCAGGTGTTGTGATATTATTTGTCAGGCGGTGTTCGTACCTGTAATGTTGTCATAATTCCTGAACATCACTTCTACGTGGTCCCATTCAAGAAAGATGCATTTTCCAGTAAAAGGCTGAGCAATAACCACGTGTTCATCATTCATATATGAGAAAGTATCTACTGACAGAGACTGGTATGGCAGGGACTGATAAACTTCAAATTCTGTAAAAGTGCACACAACATGTGATAATTACAGAGATACTTTCCATACTGTACTGAAAAATATTCTGCTTAACAGATACCAATTTATTACAAATTACAGTATTTCATCACTACTTCAATTTTCCTGTTGATAAAGGAGCAGTGCAACTTGTTTTTCAGTCCTTCTCAATTAAAAGAGGTGCTGTTTTATGTCCCAGCTCTCCAAGTCCCTATATATATATATATATAACAGCACATAAAAGTCTGAGTAGAAGCTGCAATATAAGACCCCACACCCAAGCGATTCACATCAGACTTACACCTGCACAGAATTCATATTGATTTTAGTGGAAGTTCCATCCAGTATGCAGACTTCCTGCAAAAACGGATCCTAGAATAAAAAAATATATAGCTTTGACTTTAATTTAACAAGATTAAATAACTCGAAGCACATTACCTGTAATAATGCAATCAAATTCTTTCGGAGAGAGGCTATTGATTTTGCGCTTCTTATATTCTGGTGGGCTTTCACAGTAAATGTCTTCCACTGTTGCATTGGTGCTGCCCAGCCATTCCACTAACCACTTCAGTTTGCAGTCACAATTAAATGCATTGCCTCTAAGATCTCTACAACAAATAGATCATGCATTGAAAATAAGTAGCCAGCTGATGTATTCCTCCTTGCAGGACAGCAACAAACGGGGCTCTTGTTAAATACGTGCCCTCTTGCTTATTCTCAGTTGATGCCTTCCTGGCTTAATTAAGTTAAATCTACGTACCAGAACCCACATAGATTTAATTCTATTAAGGAAATAGAGCAGAACTTAACTTGTTAATCAGGTACACAAAAGCCTACCAAACTGTTGGCCCCATATTTCGGGAGGTTGTTTCTTTTGGATTAGCCTTTCTCAGTAAGAGCATTCTAGATAACAAAACCGGAATTAATGTAGCCTTATGGTCAGCCAGGCTGTGTTTGCTATCTCCTTTAGATATACTCGTTTAGGGCTTTAGGAGACACAAGCAAGTTCAAGTCTTTTACAGCTGTCTTCGGTCAGATTTCAGCTCGTTTGTACAGGAACGGGCAAGCGCCAGGACCAGACTGTGTAACCACCTGGCCACGAGCAGTCATGCCAAGCAATGCTACCAGCTCCACTGACCATCGCCACAACTTGCTGCTGCAGCTCCACGCTATGAATTCAGCCTACCTTGTTAGTACAGGGAGCAGGGAAAGGATGTTCTGCATGCCCACTATCCCAAATCCAGGAACTGAAGCAGAATTTGGTGTGTTGTAAAAGGGACGTATTTCAGTGAAGCAACTGTAGGATTTATCTGGTTATCTATATTTTGTATTTTTATGGGTGTTTAATTTATATGTTTAAACAAGTTCATGTTTTGTTTCGGTTACAGTAAGGTTTAGTATGAGATATGGTACTTACTAACACATGCTTTTGTGACAAAAGATAGCCTTCCCAGAAGTTATTTACACGTAGAAATGTTACTCCACTGGATATCTTCCACCCTCCCCTCGTGCATCCCTAAGGGTGCTTCCTTCTTATTTACTATATCTTGAACATGCAGCTCTCTTACATAACTACTAACAATATTAATCGTCATAACTGGTGGAATATTCAAAATCAAAGTGAATTATCAGCAATAGCAGACAAAAACCCATATTGGGTAGTGTCTAGCCAGTAATAAGATCCCATTACAGGCTACCAGTTTTAATGGTTACTCAGAATGTCCTCTAAAATAATCTCTTTATATTTTTAGTGTAATCAATAGATTAATTAATTGATTTCTTACACATTTGTTAAAGAATCCAGGCCTTTGAATATGTCTTTCGGAAGCGATTGGAGATTATTATTTGCGAGACTCCTGTAAAAGAAGACACTTCAGTATCAGTGCTAGTTCATGAAATAACACATTTTTGCAAGGTGTAAGGCTGCGTGGGGTTTTTTTTCTTAAGGTAAAGAACCCTGGTATTCTCCAGCACTTAGTTCTAAAAGATTGCTTTTAAGAATAGCTCATTTACTTTGTGATTCCCACTAAAATGCCATGCCTCCTCCTGCTTTCAGACTTGCCAGCAGCCCTGCAGCATTTACAATACTTCACTTAGGCAGGGTAAAAAGTGCAGTCACCTCTGTCGTTTTGCCAACACCATTATTTTAAAACAATTAGTCATGATTGGATCTACTGATGTTTTCCTTATGAGATAGCAATACGTGGTGTTCATATTACCGCAGTTTCCTCACTTTCTTGTATCTCTTCTGGAAGCAAACTGGGTTTCATTCTGCTGGACTTAGGCTTAGCTCATAGGTTTTGGAAATATGCAGTAATAGACAAGAAATTGCTGATCAACATCCATTTCTTCTCTGGAATGTGTGTGTGAGTATGCACATGTGAGACCAGCAAAAAACTGCCATTAATTCCCAATTTTTAATGTTGGGAAAATTCATTTAGATTCAGCAAGCATTCTAGCTAGTAAAAAGTGACAAGGAAACACACGCAGGCTTTGAACAAGCAATATATTAAATTTCAGTCAGACACGTCCGTGTGAGTCCACCAAAGGTCTGGGTTGAGGGCATGACAGGAGAAGGGTAATGCTGTAGGGTATAGTTTATGCCTCTTTCGATTAACAAAATTATTTACTACTTTTGAGAAGAAATGGAAATGGCAAGAAATCTTTCTAGTTTAAGATCCCAGTTAGAATCTGTAGCTAGTTAAGACTTAGAACCTCTTCTGTTTTCACTTGTAAATGTAAGAGTTATTTTTTAACTACAATTTCTCTAGCCAAGTAAAGCCACTTAGGCATATATTTAAATTCAAGAGCAGGCCCAGACGTAGTACGTCTACTGCCTCATTTCAAATGAAGTGTCTGCCTTATCAGGAATAGTACATACGGGATGATGCCGTTAGCCTGTTCCAACTTCACCACTTCCAAAGTACATCTGATTGTAACACTGTTTGGTGTGTGTATCTTGTGCTTCTCTTCTGCTTAATTTAACGTTAAAGAGCAATTCTTTAAAAGTCAGGTAACTCATATGGAGAAAGCTAAGTAGGCATGCGAGCTAAGGCAGGTTTAATGCCCTGTATATTCTTTATGACCTGGATTATAGCAAACCGAAAGGGACGATGGGCTTGAAAGTACCAGTGGCTCACCACTGCCATGGGAACATGGCTGACACAAAAAAATTACATAAGGTTTATGCATTTGCCAATTTTTGGATGAAAATTACGCATTTTATATTCCACTGTTAAAAGCATACTCGTATATTAGAAAACACTGGCTTGCCTAAATGGTGCTGTACATGGTCTTTGGTTTATAACAAGAGAGTAAAGGTTGAATCAAACATGCAGTTAAACTTATGGTCACAGTTCTGAGAGAAATGCGATCAAAATTATATACTGTGAATAGAAATTATTTTCCAATCCTAACTGTAATATTTTGACATTAAATTAGTAATTTCATAACAATGTTATTTTCCTTTAATTTTCCTTTTCTTAAATCTGCTCCGAGCACAGCGTGAATTGTGCTGCCTAACAATAAATACTAGATGGCTCTGTTTTACCATAAGGACACGCTGTAATTATCAAAGTTAATTGCATTATAAAAACACAAATTTTTGGATAGCTTACTGCCTTGCAAAAGTTATTTTGTGAAAAGGAAGCAAACAGAATAAATAGAACAAAGTTCTTCTCATCTAACTTCATGGAACTCGTTTGTATGCTTAGTAAGATTCTTTTTAATATATTTTATGTACACAAGTACTCTCCTGTTTTTTAAATGAGAAATGCCTCAGGGTGCCAGATGATTATTCTTAATGTATACGTGCAATTTTCCCCAAAGGGTGGGGAGTGGTTCTGCAAGCTGATTAAACTAGTCACATTCTGTGGTTAATGGACCTGCCTTTGCAGTTATTTTCTGCAGATTTCTCATTGTCTTCATGAATAGTGCTCCGTGCGCAATAGCTGCATGATGCACAAATCTGTGTCCCAAAAATGTGCGTGCAACCCCATGTAAACCACAGTGGTTCCTCAAATGTGGTTTTATCTTTTGCATATGTTTTCCCTTACGAAACTGCTGAAGCATCCCCAGAAACCAACGTAACAGGCAAGACAAGATGTTACTCTTGGACTGTACGCCCTGTGGAGAAGAAACTGTGCCTTCCTCTGTGTTAGAAAAGCAATTTGCTCACTGGCAGCAACAGCTACTAAATAAGTAAATGAATATGATAAATAATGTACTGGACCCATTTGTGAATATAAAGCTATTCATGTACATAAATATTTTGAAGATAGGGTCCCAGTTACCAGCCTTATCCAAATTATCTGCCTTTTTTTAACAATACTATAATTACGCCTATACCTCTAATATGGATTTTTATGGGATGTGCACAGCCTGTTTATACACTGTTCTCCCTCTCCTCCCTCTTTCCTCTTCCTCAGATCTCGAGCCATTCTATAAGTAACTTTATATACACGAGTAGTCACAGTAGGCTCGGTTTCAGCCAGCTGTGAGTCTTGTCTATTCTGACCAAAAAGGGATGAGTAAAGTATTTTATGGTAGATTTACTATGTGGTGAAGGATGTGGTGAACTGCAATTCAACTATTATGTTTATACATTAACTATTTAAAATGGAACCTTTGCTTTCTCTCCTGCGTCAAAATATATGAAAGAAAAAGCTAAATGGCCCTGTTTCCAAACCTTCTTGGAGGTTATTGTGTTAAGGCCAAAAGGTCAGAATCCACTCCCCTGCCTATGACACCCCCCCAAGATATATGCTTCAGAATGCAAATGCTCAGAGCTGGCTATAAACCCGTGTCACCTCAGACATTTTAGCCTCCTTCTCTTATATTATTTTTGTATTTTTTATGTTTTCTTATGGTACATATTATATTTTCAATACATGTATCACTTGCTAAAATAAAATTATTGTGAAAAGGTAAACTGGATGTAAGATTAAGAGACAAAAGCCTGTCTAAAAACTGTCTTGCTTGCTAGACCATGAGGATGCTACTCTTGTGTTTGCAGTGAAATGTTACAGGTATTTGCTGGTCAGTGTGCGTTCCACCTGCTGAGCACAGCGTGAGAAATGCCTCGGCTGGTGTGAGCATGGCAAGTGTTGCTCCTAACAGCCGCATTAGCATCCAGAGTGCCTTTGACTGATTTTCCCTCTCAGCTAATGCAGCGAGGGGGCTGCAGCATGTCAGAGGGCACGGGTCTGGCTGTGTTTCCAGGAGAGCCAAAGGGCTGAGCAGCAAGACAAGGAATGTTAAGCAAACCCCAGTGTCAGTGCGTGACAGATCCTGAGCTGTGGGATGCTCTGGCTTGTGTGCAGGAGAGGGCGGGCTGCAATGCAGGGCTTCAAAGCAAATCCTGTTGAAGTCTAAAGGCTCATATGCCCTACAGTTAAGTGGAAGAAGTGGATCAGTTAGTCATAGTAAGTGCATCTTGTTGCAACTCTTCTATTTAAAATTGTTCAGGGGGGGGAATTTTTAAATTTGATTTGGTCACATTCTGCTGGGTACGGGTACTGGCTGAAGTGGACATAGGTACAGACAGTGATGGCTGGTCCCAGGAATGGTCATAATGTTCTCCTGGAGCCACACCAGACTGGGGTACCTGGGAAGAAGTGTGTGTCCACGCCCGAGTCCCTCACCACCGTGGCACCTCAGCGCTGCCCATGGCTCCCACCTGCTCTCCAAGTCCCAAACTGCGACTCACTTTGTCAGCACCAAGCTTCCCAACCCATCCTGTTTTCTCCCTGCTTCTACACGCTCACCTGGAAATCCCCAGTGCTCTCAGCAGAGAAAGTTGGGGAGCTACTGCCAAACATGTACCGCTTGGAATCTGTTTGGGTCTCGGCCTTATACCCATACCATAGTTTGGAAGTCTTTGGTGGAAACACAAAGATTAACATTCTAATTCAATTACTATTAATACCACCTAAACAAATGCAAACAGCTATATAACAAAATACAAAATTAAACAACACAGTGGTTCAGTTACTATATTAAATATACCAAGCAATATATTCAACTACTTTACTTACAGGTGAATTAAAGATTTCAGTCCTCTGAAAGTATTTCTTGAAATTGACTTAATGCTGTTGTTCTCTATGAACCTGTAACGGGTCGTAAAGTCATTCTGGTCAAAGCAATGCCTGGAACTTGGAAACCCACCCACTCTATTCAATAATGCCAGGAAATATATTTTTGTCCACTCACAAATATTCTAGATGAGGAAGGCCCATGAAAGCATCATCACTAATAACATCAAAAGTGTTGGATGTAAACAACCTGTGTAAAGAGATGCAAAACAAAAGGCCGTTAGGTTATCAGCGTCTTTAGAAAACACTTCAGCAAGCCATGGTAGGCCAAATTTCCACTGCCTGGTTTCGTGGCTTTTTCTGTGCAAGCACTATGGGATCGTAAGGCTGATATACTGCACCATAGTCTGGTGCAAAGGGAAGGACCCAATAACTCCTTGCATTGCATGCTGGGGCCATCTGATAAAATTCCATTGACTACTGTGGGATGTAAACGTGGGTTTATCATGCCAGTAAAACAATGGGATCGTACAAGCGCCAGTGGAGACATACTTGGACAACAATGAAATGTTCAAGTGCTACAGAGGTCTAAATTGTCTTGAAGAACACTTGCTTTTGATGACAACATAGGGAAAGTATCCAGCTGGTTGGCCAGACTTCAGGTTGAATTTGCACCACTGACAGGCAGGAAATTCCCTTAACTTACGAGTTAAACTTGTGAGTATATTTGACCTGAGGGTACTGAGGAGTTACTGAGAAAAAAATGGAAAAGCCTCTTCATTTAGGCAGCATTCAAATCAGAACTATTTTTAAGACCACATTATACCGGCTGGAGATAGCTCTTAGTGTGTGCATGTATTTTCCACTCAACTAGCAGTAAAAATACCAGCAACACACTTAATTTTATGTAATTTTGTAAGCATTAAAAGTGGGCTGGCATTGATTTTCCCAGCTCTATTTATGCTTATCAGCCATATTTGCATTTGTCCATTTTAATTCAGCTCTGGACTGCCACTGCGTTGTCAAGTATGATGAACTTTATTTTACCCCAGTGGAATACTAGATGCACATCTATATTTTATTCAGTTGGGCTCGATGGATAAACAGATTTATGCTATGACATCCTTAGGCATTCAGGAATTCAAGATTTCCAAGTATGAATGAATACGCTTAAAGAGTTAATCTCTTCTTTTGAAGTTTGCATTAAGAATAAATTGCAGTTGATTTATTTTCTCACTTGGTTATTGCAGACTGTGCTTCCTCCACTTTAAATATGTTCCTATATATGTATGAAAAATGTAAGCAGGAAATTCTTCCTTTTTGTTAGAAACAATGGATACTTCTCTTTCTTAGAGGAAATAAGTATTTTCATAAAATTTCTGAACCAGAAGACCAATTTAGTAAATCTGCTGCCTGCAATTAATTTCACTTTTCTGATGTGATTTCACTGGACAATTTTTCCTTTTCTGCACTCTACCCTCCTTGTAATTTAAAGAAGAGGGTGGTACCTCTTTAAATAGTATAGCTATTTTAGAGATTGCCAGGCTTATAGCATAGGTCTTGCACTTGGTGAGCTCATTTGCCTCCCATCTCGTACCTCACCCCAGTGGCTGTATCATGGATATCTGCTGCACAAAGTGGCTTTTCTCCCACTCTCTGACCTCAAACACCAGATTTGCTTCATCTGTGACCCACCAGCTAGCTATTTCTGGAGACAGAGGCCGAAGATACTGCGCTGTGGCTAAGGACTATATTGCTTAGCAGGAACTGTACACTGCTAGCCAGTATGGATTCTGGTGCCATGATTACCTCCCCTCTTTCTACGGGCTTTCATGTCATCAGTTTATGAGGGCACCCTCAGCACGTTGCTGATACACAGAGTTAGGAGTGCTGGTGGTGAGAACAGGAGATTTTCCTGGTGTTTAGGGATCACTGCTGCTGGCACTTCACCGTAGCTGTGTAGGTCCTTCGTATTTTTGTTGTCACATGAAGAGCACAGAGCATACCACCCATGCTATTCAAGAAAAAAAGCTCTCCTGGCCTGGGACTTAGGAGCAGTGTTTTGCACAATGAGACCATGACTTTTCCAGAGACGATCACTGCTACTACAGTAAAAATAGTAGCAAATAATAATAGCAGCAGATACATTCCACTCTTAGAAATGTGTGACTGGCATACTGGAGATACCAAGTTACATTTGGACTCTAAAAATGTAATTCTGGAGACTATTATGTAAAAATATGTATAGGTTGCTAAATCTTGCTGTTGGCTAAATTAAACATACCAGTACAGCTATAATCATGCAAAGCTAGAACTTACTTTAATTTTTAATTAGCCTGAGTTTCCCATATCCTTATTTCCCTTGCTATTTTCTGCCAAAGGTGGAAATTTTTCTTTCCCACTTACAAACTGGAGTACTGGCCCCACAGATACATGCCCACTCCTATGGTCTGTGTTTAAGGAGTCACTTGCCTTAGATCAGCAGCCTGACTTTCCGAAGATGGCAAGCAGCTCAGCTACCATGTTAGAAACACATCTGGAAAAGTGTTCAGCAGTATTTTTAGAAATGCTAGGTAGCAGAAGTAAGTAATCTGTGGATTGTTTGGACCATTTTAACAGATCTCTCATCGAAGCCCATAAGGGAACAAAACCTGCTTTTCTGGGGTTGGAGCTTTTGTTGCAGCATTGATTAGCAGCAGCTTAGGACGTGCGTTTCAGTGAAGTATACAGCAGATCATGCAAATTATTGCCATTACTACGCCAAAAGTGATTGCCAGAGCCACAGACCCCACTGCGCCAGGCGCTGTAATAACTCAAAATAAAAAGACTGTGTCTGTCCTGCTCCACCCTACCCAATTTGGCCTCCCCTGGCAGCGAGATCGCTAAGTGTAGGTGGTGTATTGTAGCCAAGAGAGATGATGTCCTACTCACTCTCTTCAGATACGAGCTCCACCAATGCTGCTATTTCTTTCTTTTTTTTCCCCTTTGAAAGGCCCATGGCAGGAATTATGTGAAATGTGTCCCTTTTGTGATCCGTGACCACCAGGGAAAAGCTTCTCTGGAATAAAGCACCATGGAAAAGCATTTAGGTTTCCATAGTAACTGCATTTACCTATTTACCCTGTATCCAAAATTGTACAGTACGTCTGCACCTCCTTATCAGCTCCACTTGAGGTAGCAGAGTACAGCTAGGGTCAGGGCTTCAGCTATCGGTGCACCAGCAGTTTAATCTAGCAGCCGTAGGGCTCCAATACATCAACATTACACCTCTGACTACATCTAGAGCGCACGGGAAGTCAGCCTGGGACAGACGTCCAATTTTGATTTTGATCACATCGGGGAGTCTGTCTTGCTGGATTTCTGAGACAAATCTGGGTGCGTGTCAGGCTGGCAGCACATCCACTATAAACAGCCCAGGTTACACCCCCTCCGCCTCCATATAGCTCGCAATTATATAATCGTATGCCCACATTTCTAGGAAAGCCTGTGAGCCTGTAAAAATCCTATATAGAAATGCACCTAATATTTAAACATCCCAAAATATTCTCTTTCTGCATATATCTCATTGCAGTATTTGATTTGGAAATAACTGCTTAAATTTTTTTTTTTAATTGGAAGAAAATCTTCATTACTTTGGGGTTTTTTTTTTCAAAGAACATGAAATAACAAATAGGGTCAAATCCAGGCGCTAGGAAGGCAAAACTCCCACTGAAGTGACTAAACTTCCACAGAAGTCAATGGCAATTTTACACAGAAAGGGACTTCAGGACCTGTCCCACTGCAATGGAGGGCCTGATCTGAGGGGTTCTGAGCTCATGGTCGATGGGAGTTGCAAATGGGCAGGTTTATATTGGGATCAGGCCCCAGGACTGCAGAAAAGACACAAGAATAGTTGTTGCAATGCTCAAATGCCCACTGTAGTGTTAATTAAAGTATAATAAAGATAGCATACATTCTGTCACCGAAAGCTTCAGCATGTAATCATTCAAAGTAGCACTGACAACAGATAGCCTTGCAAAATACTAAGTAGATACACTTTGAAAAAAATTAAACATGCACTATCAGATTGCTAAAAAGTCTTGTATTTTGTCATCTAATGAATCTTCTCCTGCTGTTTCTTATAAAATTAATACTGAGACCCTTTCTGTAATATTTATGGCTACATATACATTTCGTAACAAAAATTGTATCATATAAACATTTCTCACAGAAGCTGCAGAGATGGTGTGAGCAAAAAACTCCCTTCTGGGATTTTAGTAAAAGCAGATCTCACAAAGGATCTGGAAAGAAGAAAAAAACAACCTTATATTAACGTAGTCTCATATATCCATGGTTATAATACTGATCTGGTCATCACAGAGAAATTTATTTATATAAGTAAAAAAAAAAAAAAAACCAAACAAATGAATGTTACAGGTTTCATGTAGTATATAAGAAGGTATAAAATGGGATGTGTGCACATACACAGACAGACAGACAGATGAAAGAGATGTAAAAATCAGGATTCAAGGATGCAGCACAATTTTAACACATTAGCTGATGATTCTGAATGCTGGAGGTACTCCCTGCAGCAAGCATCCTTCTGTATGCACTGAAAACACCACACATCCTAGTTCATTTTAAATCATAAATTAAATAACCAAATGCTTACAGCCCTTACAGTGAGATAACATCAGGCGGAACGCTGCGAGGAATAGATCTGGCATTTTCACATAAAGCATTATCTTTGGTACAAGTACACCAGGCAGGACATTTTGGCTTCACTGGTTTCTTCCCTTCAGTCAGCAAAAGCACAGATAAAAGGCATAAGAAATAAGCAATTCTTCTAAAGGGTCTGCTGGCATTTCCCATTCTTTTGATCCGCTCTTGTTCCAGCCAGTTGAAAGAATATCCCAAAACATGAACAGGGGCTCTTTATTCAGCCATTGGATGTCTTTCTAGAAGTCCAGGTCAATATTTGTCTCTGCTTTCCCAACCCTTTTCTTTCTCTTTCACTCTGTTTTTGTAGACAGAAACCTGCAGCTGATCTGTATGTTTCCACTCACTCAGGCAACGTACTGCTCAGAGAAGAGACCTGCGAGGTGCTGTAAGATGGGGAAAATCCAACCGGCTGAAGGAAGGAAAAAAAAAAAAAAAAAAAAAAAAAAAAAAAAGACTTGCATCACCACAAAAACACTGAGCACAACACAGCATTAGATTGCAAAGTGATGTAACTGAGAAATACACTGCTTTCTGTTTTCACAGGGAGGCCCTTTCCCTGTTACCAAAAATAGTCCAGCATTATGTTTTGCTGGTGGGTGGGTGAGTGGGTGTGGGGTGGAGTGTATGTGTGTGGGGGGAGAAATCAGTCATCTCTCGCTGGATCCCTACAACCTCGTGAACCTCTGAGAATTATGCTTCACATATTGCAAGCAGCAGAACTAACGGCAGTACCCACAGGAAAATGAAATCGAGTGAAACCATCAAAAGCACTGCTGCAAAAGCTGTTAGATTAATTTTTATCCTTAGCCCTTATTGCACATATTTGTACCACTGAAAAACAAGCTGCCACACATGGAAAATATTACAATGTATGAAAGAATGCCTACAACTGTCATTCCTAAACAAAATATTTTCTCATGCAAAATAGACCCCCACTGCTTTTTTTTTTCTTTTTGTTAGAAAAAGAACGGTTCTTATTTGTTACACATTTTCTGAGCTGGTTAAATAAAGTGGATTAAGCACTGTTCAAAATGGACAACATTAAGTAAAAGTTCAAGTTAAAAAATTTATATGCTTGGAGACTGGTTTGATCATTTTAGATGGAAAAAAAGCAAATTGTTATTTAAACACCAGCTATGTTAAACCTGTAGTTAAGAATGGATATTCTTTGAAAAGTGACAGGGTAGGGGCAGATCTTGATGGTAATAATGAATCTTTACAATACTGCCTGGAGGCTGCAATTGAAATTAGTGCTAGGTGCAGTATGAACACGCCGTAAGAAACAGACCACAGCCTGAAGACTTTACAGTAAACTACATTAAATATTTTATAGGAAACTTAAGCAGCACCTAAGTGTTATTATATAAAGAATGCTAAGACAAAACTAATGAATGCCAAGTAGCTGAAAAGCCATATGGGATGATTTTATTTTTTCCGATATAGGATTGCTATTAGCAGAGTTTTGCAAACTTTAATAGGACTTGACAATTCCCCGTCAGACTGGCAGCACCGTTTACATTACACAGATCACCAAGTCTGCTAGGGTCAACCCGATGGTACAGAAGTTTAATACAGTGATGCTCACTATGGGCTCCTTCACGTAGGTGCTGCCTCCTCACCGGGAGACACCTGGAAGCCCGAAGATGTCTCTTCACTGCTGGTTACTCCTCCTTTGATTCCACATGGCCACCTGGCTCTGGTCCATTGCTCCTGCTCTACAGGCCATGAAATCTCAAGACCAACGCTGGGCCATGTCCGTCTTCCTCAGGAACGATGCCAGCAAGGCCCAGCGCATACCCAGATATGGATGCCCAGTGGGAATTTCAGATGCTATGCATGGAAGATGGCAAATGGGGACAACAGCCTGGAAAACTGCAAGGAACCCAGAGTACAGACACTAGGCAGGACCCCAGCGTCGCCAAGTCCTTGCCTGGGGCAAGCGGCTGGGGTCTGACTCCCTGGGTTGGGAGGGGACCTGGAGAGCTGACACCGGGTGGTGGGACTGCAGCCTCTGAGGGACTGGGGATGGCCAGGAAGGGCCAGGAAGCTTCTGGAGGCAGCGGGACGCCGCTGAAGGCCCTGCTGGGAGAGGAGGCCAGTGCCCGTGCATGGGCACGCTCCCTGCCTGGCACCCGTGCCTCTGGAAAGGGGCAGCTCGTGCTGTCTCAGCTCCCTTGCTCTCTGTGGTGCAGGGTTTTTTTAAAGCTCTTTATTAATTTAAGTGCGGGCCCATGTTTTTGCTCATAAGGAAATCTTCCCTGTCAGCAGTCTCTCCTGAAGCAGGATTGACTTCAACGAGGAGTGACACAGAGCTGCGTTATTTCTGAGCCCTTCCACCTTCTGTAAGAAAACGGTACAGAATTACAGTAACCAAAGCACTGAAATCATTATAAAGCAGATGTCATGCCTTCCCCTAGGTTTAAAGGTTACTTCTTGCTCTGGAAGTGATCTAATTGTACGACTGAGAAGGGAGCTGGATTTGTGGGACTTGCGTAAGTAGGGTATGCTACCTTCTCCCCTCCAAAGACGTCCAAAAGCACAGGCTTTGGTGAGGTGAGAACAGAAAATTCTCTAACTTCTTGCTGAAAGGGAAGAGGCCTGTTGTTGTTTGTTTGTTTATTCCTGGCAAAGCTACCCATTGCCATGGCAATATTTTGCCATTGATGGTGTAACCCCATGTTTCATTTCCTTCGGCTCATTCACTGAAATCCACCATCAATTACTCAGGCATTTCTTTTTAGTTAATACTCCAGCCACATTGTGAACCTCCTGAAAACTTTGCAGTGTAGCGGTTTTGCAGTAACAAAAGCACATTCTGCAGCAGGGCCGTAACCTGACTCCAGTTTTGTCCATGCAGAGAAACGCCTGAAAGTTAGTTTTCTATTCCAAACTACATGCCAAAACAACCGCTTTTTCCAAAATTGCAAATATTATGAATATTTATAACAGCTCTGTCAAAAAAGAGGCATAAATCACATTTTCCAGGGTCCTTTTCTGCCAAGCTTGGTATCTCATTCCTTGCCGTGTAGTAGTTTAAAAACAAATTGGTTCATGGATTTTCAGTGCTCCCCAGCCATTGCAATGTTTGGCTCACCCTTTACCTATGCCACCGTTATTTGTTTTCCGGCTGACAGAGTGGGCTAACAGGCCTGCCTTGCCCACACCCCCGCCCCGGCCTCTAGGACCTCTAGCTTGTTTCCTCTGGTGTTTCAGGTACTGATTCGGCACAATGGGATTCAAAATGTATTTATTTTTTCCTCAGCAAGGTTTCA